CCCCCCCCCCCCCCCCCCCCCCCCCCTCAGATCTAAATCGTGATTCTACCCATTCTGGCAACCCCTTCAACTCTGTGCATATACTACCTAACTACCTAACTCCTCAGACAAACGCCATGCCGCCCCACGTCGACGTGGGTGAAGCAAACCCTCGAACAAACTCATTAAGCTCCGGCGTTCAAATCACAGACATAAAAGCAGGTATCCGTCCTTCGAGGGGCGGGTTTAATGATTCGGAGTTCGATGACCTAGACCCAGATTTCCCAGATATCATTACCCCGCGCCCCAATTCATCTGGAGATGCCTCCTCTATAACTATAAGCGATGAAGAACTCGGCTTTAGGGAGCGAATATATTCCGTCATCGACGGCTCCACTTTCACCGCTATTCTAGCTGTCATCCTCCTCATCGATTATCTTTTGCTGCTGCTCCAAATCCTTCTGCTTCTTGGCCAAGAGGGCCCTGCAATGGACGCTCTTGACAGTCTGTACAAAGCGTTGGATTGGATAACAGCTTTCGTATTTCTAACTGAAACAAACGCAAGACTTTTCTGCTATGGTGCCTTCTTTTACTTTAACAGCGCTCTGCGATCTTGTGAATATTTAGTCAGCGCAACCAATGCCGTCTTTGTAGTGATGTGGCACATTTCCTCTCTGCCCTGGCTTCAAATTACACGATTCATCAGACTCATGCGTATTATAACCATCATTGTCACATGGAGAGAGAGAAAGCTCAAATGGAGAACACGCCAGGAGCTTGAGGCACTTGCTAAACTTCTTGAAAAGGAAAAGAGTGAACGGACCCGCCTGACAAAGTGGCGAATACAGTCTGACGATATTGCAATTGGCGAAAAAGCTGGGCATGGCGGCTTTGGAACGGTATTTTCAGGGCTTTTTCGTGGCACTCTCGTTGCAGTCAAGCAACTTTCTTCGTTTGAAAGAGATCAGAGTTCTATTTCCATCGAAGACGAGGCTATCACTCTCGTAAATCTGCGACACCCAAACGTCGTTCTGTTTATGGGCTTCGTACATGAACCTTCAAAACTTTGGATTGTTACAGAATACTGCTCAAGGGGATCTCTCCGTGATCTTCTTGACGATGACAGGTTTCCGCTCACGCAAGGAAGAGCTCTGAAGCTGGCTCTAGGTGCTGCCCGTGGATTGGCTTACCTACATGGCCAAGATCCCCCTGTGCTTCATCTAGACCTGAAAACCTCGAACATTCTCATATCCTCGGGATGGGACGCCAAATTGGGAGACTTCGGTCTCAGTCGCAACATCGAAAATACAGAAAACTGCTTCTCCGGAACGGTTCAATATGCTGCTCCAGAAGTGCTTGAATCAAACTCGTTCTCCACCGCCGCGGATATCTATTCGTTTGGTGTATGCCTATGGGAGATTGCTGCGCGAGAGGTCCCATTCAAAGAAGAGTCACCAATGTCAGTGCTATGGGGTGTAGTGAAGTCAAACTTGCGGCCTTCTATGGGTCAGTTGTTCATTAGGGATTTCGACCATGACTCAGAACTTGGCGGAAACGAAACTGATGCGAGAACTGAGGCAGCGGCGACAGCGGCAGTGGATATAAACCAGACTCACCGTGACAATGAAAATCGGAACGGGCAGGTTGATGACTTTCACAGAACAGAGAGTAGACAGCATCATAGCCAACGAAACTCAGTCCCATTCCCTAAGAATCAATGCTTCAGAAATAACGCAATGTTTGGACAAGTACAGCGATGCGAAGAACTACCCAGAATGGACAAAAAACGATCGAAATCACTTCAAGATGGTCGCAGGAAGACTGCAACTTTCAGTCGTGGCGATTACACAGCAATGAGCGAAACGATACGTCCAGTGACGCGTACAAATCTGCGCACTCAGGAATTCGACCCAATCGAGACCTCAAAGAAGAAAACTACTGCTTTAAGTCAAAGCAGGTGTGGCGGGAGATCTGTCTTTCCGAAAACAGATACGTTGGCTCCAAGAGCTGGGCAGGGGAATGATCGAAGGACGCCAGGGGGGCAATTAGACAATTTATCTAGGCGGGTGACGGCTACGATTCACAAGTTTGATGATAGGCCTCCAATTGTACGACGAAAGGAAGGTGAAGATTCCGGCCGCTCTCCGCGAGAAGTAATTTCCCGTGGGAGCGACGCTCTTGCCTCAGATGCACAACCCAGGCTCTCCTCTAAGACCAGAAGTCCTTTCTCCAACAGAAATTCTCCGCCGCGAAAATCTCGTGCTTGTGATTTTTCACGTGCTCAGTCTGGTGCTGAGGGAAGCGATGCTTTTGCTCGTCGTATGGCCAATTTCTCAGTCCATATGAACAACCGTTCCACAATTTCAGCACGAACGCAAAATTTATCCGACCATGCGGCAACTGGTCTTTCTGACCCTTCTGAAAACATACCTTCGAGGTCAAGGCATCCTCCAGTCTATGTGCCGCCAGAGTACGTAGAACTTATGCAATTGTGTTGGGCCCAGAACCCAAATCAACGACCCAGTGCTAGTCAAATTGTTTGGCGGCTTGTTCTCTTTATTGATGGGCAAATGAAAGAAACGTCAGGTTCGGAATAATGAGAATTAGTTAAAGCATTTCGCTAACATCACAAACATGACGCGGGTTTACCAACACTACCTATACAACTAGAACATGCGGGGTAGCAACAGCAACCAAGCCTATAGATCTGCCCTGCAACCAAAATTCTAGTGATGACTCGATTTGGAGCGGCTCCCAGCATGTGAAGGGTGGCTATTCTTTTTGTGTCTACTTCTTGAGCTCCGGTGCTTGAAACGTTGGTTGCAGCCTTCTACTTGGCATGTGAAGCGACAATCGTCCTCTTTATCAAGCACCTCTAACACGGGGCCGTTGGGAGCGATTGGCACTGGCCGGCTGGTGGATGACGGTTGCGATGAGCGGCTAGATGAGTTTCTCGTGCTGCTTGACGAGTCGTGGTTGCGCGAAGAAGAACTGCTTCGGTGTTGTCCACTTGAGTTCGATAATGACTGACCATCATGTGACGCGCCGGAGTCCAAAATCGTCTCCCAATGACGTTTGCGCTGCATGCGGTGGTGGGTTCTGCTTATGGAGAAAGACACAGATCCCTTTCTTGAATGCTTGTCTGGACAGGACGAGCTACAAAGGTTCAAGAGAAAGGAAGCGATCCAATTCGTGGAGAGGTTTCTGAAAGTATCTATCCTTCTGTCCTTGGTTTTCGGTGCAAGCTTGCAAGCAGAAAAAGAAGACGCTTGTCGGTTGAGATTGATTCGGGAGTTGATGAGTTGAAGGCGAGAGAAGTGTACAAACTCTCGCGGCTATTTGTACAAGCGAGTCGGTCGGGTTTGAAGCTAGCGGGCGTAGTTCTCGTTGATGAATGCCCCTATCGCAACTATATAGATGCAAGGCTGTAGCGAGTTGATAACTACTGCGGGACTTCTCAACAGTCATGTGAGGCGCTGTTGTAACTTTTTTTGTGCGCTCGCCCACCGATAGTTCTTCTCTTTCATGACCGCGAGTCATTTATCCATTTTGACTCCGTCATTAAAGCATTCCACGTTATTTTAATGAAAACAGTCACCCAATTAAGCATGGTGCTAATAACATGACGAAGATGAGGCTCGCAAGGTTTCTTTATTTCGGACGGTTTACGACGCCCTACTCTGGATGAACGACGTTGTCAAGTTTCAGAATGCGGCTCGAGCAATTACTGAAATCTCTATATGCCAACACTGCGTGGAAACTTAATCAGTATATTTTCTGAACAGAGAGATGACGGGTGATAGCGGGCGGTGTATCAATAATGAGCGCAGTTCCAACAGTTGTTTTGTAAAAAAGTGTGTTTGTGTGACAGTAAGCAACGCGAGATCGTATGTAGGGATAGTCTTCACCGTTGCGTTCCCGCGTTGCGTTGAAGAAGGAAATTTCGAAACTAATGCCTCTTGCATAAAAGACTTAACGATAGAGACTCAATCATGCTCGCATACAAGAATATATCACGTACAATCACGTATATGGGACGTGCAGTATTTTTCGACAGGGGTTGTTCCATGGCGGCCAACAGTGCCCGCTCACTGTAGCTGGAAGATGGTATTGTGTGCATTCCCCTCCTCGTAGGTAGGTGTTTCAGTTGAGTCAATCATCCGCCATGTTCGATAAAAATGAAGATTGACGACAGCCTGCGTGTGTTTCTTGCAAGCCGCCGGGTACTACACTAGGCAATAAACAGCCTTCCCACTACACGAGTCATCGCCGCAAGCGAATTCCATTATCACATCAACTGCGCGCCAAAAGCCTCCGCTGACCCAGGCTGAACTCAAGCTACTTTTCGCAGCGCCGGCATGACACGTAAAAGCCCATTCATGCCTTCTTAACCAGTGCATGAGAATCATAGACTAAACATCCTGAATAACGTCATCTAATCTCGTCGTCAAAAAAAAACTTTGGACGTTTGAAACAGCCACCATTCTCACACGTAGCAGCGGAGTAATCCCGATGACGCTTTCTAGGTTCTGGATGATTAAGACATTCGCAGACCATCACGAATCCGTCGCAAATCTTCCTGAATTGCCAGAATATTTCTTTGTCTACAAGACGGGAGTCTCCATTTCTCTACGGTTGTCACGAAATTGATGCTGTCAGTGTGTGGGTCAGCAGATACTGTAGATGTGCCTCAGGCAAAGGCCAGCCCTCCCGAAATCGTGATGAGGCCATGTGGCCGGATCCCATTCACTCGCAAAAACAAATGCCGGTTTGGACTGCTCCACTATTCGTCACATATTTGATGGTAGTACACCGCATCGCACAACACGACGCAAAACTACAGGCACCGTTCCATTCCGCCTTCTTTTGCCAATCAGACCAATTAGAAAGAGCCAAGTCATGTCGTCGCACCAATAGCAAAGACACGTACTTGGAGGGGTCTTGTGACCGTATCTGACATGTTGCGCGACCACCTCTTACCCCTTGGCATACTCACAGTCTCACACAGCCGTCCGTCATGCATTCACTTGGTGTAGGGCACGGCCGCCACTCTACAATCACTCTACAACAGAAAAGGCAACTACGGTTTCATTCCACTAAACCAAAACGGACGCTCTTCCTTTCAGAGTGTGTCACCACCGTGTGGTGCTGATGAAGGACCTTTGGACGCGCAAGATGCTCTTGGAGGTGCCGTTCGCTATGTTGTGACGAGCGAACAGTATACTTCCACGTGCAATCACACACCCTTCCCCCCTCCCCCCCTGGGCCTCCTCTTTCATTGTACGCTCTCATCTTTGTTCTCCTAAGCCCAAAAACTCAGCATAGTACCGGGACCGCCAATGATATTGCAGAGCATTAATATTTCCAAATGCCCATCGTCAGAATCATTTACAGCAAAGTTTAGGTACGCGAACTAGCTAGACCGTAGGATCTGCTCGGGGACCGTAGGATCTGTTCGGGGGACTCTTAAACTCCTACAAGGCGCCATTCCTCTACTACACGTACCAATAGGGTCTGATGTCCGAGAGCACGACCCAGCCGTGGTGCGCTGTCGAACGCGAGCTGATGCTTCCACATGGTTTGTCAAGGATGGGCACCCACCCCGTGGATGCCGCATCAAAAGTTGGGCAACGAAGAATTTGTCATCATCCGCTTGCCTCCATCACGATCTACATGCCTACGTTTTTCTACTCGCATTTATCGTTAGCGGTATGTCGTAAAGCATATCGAAATGACAACAGTGAATCCCTTTGAACCTTTACTTCAACTCAGGCTCAATTATATGTCCAAAACGAACCGTTCCATCCTCCGTAGAAACAGCAACCGTAGATACAGTAATCAACCCGGGAATAACGAGATCTGCAACCATTGGGCTCGCTATAGAGCATGAAAAAAATCCGCCAAGGATCTTTGATTCTTTCTTCGCATGTGGCATATGCACAATGCTGTATGGCATCATGTGTCGTGAAAGTAGTGACTCTACACATACAGTACCGTCGCCTGCAGGTAGCCTGGAGGATGCCGTCGCGCATCTTGTATGACCGTCTGCGACTGCTAAAAACTCCGATGTCGCCAGGGGCGCAGAAAAAATGACTTTTACATGGCTATTGCCATCCGTCGGGGAACCTCGTGTCACATCTCCCTTTGTTGGTCAGAATAAGACAACAATGACATCATCTGATCTCTGAACTATACGAAAGGACAAGCAGATATGAGATGAGAGCAATGCGTCTACAAATCCTTTCAAGCAGATCGCTGATGTCCCATATCTTAACGCCATTTAGACGTGTAGTCTCGACACGCGGGATTGCGGCCCTACAGTATAATCTGATGGCGAGCTGAAAGAATTTTGTCCATCCGTTGTCAAACCCCGTGAGAATGTTGAAAACTTCTGTTTGGGACATAGAGTACGCAGTTTCATTTAAGAGACAAGACATCGACAGGCTTCTACTTTTATAAGGGACATCAAGTCACTGTATTCATAGTTTACAGCAACAACAAAGGAGAATGTGTGCTCCACAATGCTTCTCTGTCCACTCATGCAATGCGAACTGTCACAAACTCTACCTCAGTCGTCTATTCCGAGCTGGAACGGCTCGCATATTCTCATTGACAGATGTCTTCCTCAATGCTGTGTTGTGTTTAGTGAAAAAACATTTCATTCCACGTACAAGGTAGAATCTAAAGCAACTTCAGAAAATTTGTTTCGGAATTGGAACGGCACACAGGTCTGTGTCAGATATTCAAGATGGAAGCAGGGGGCACGTGTTGGTAATGGCCAAGTTCGCGTTGCGCCGGGGGAGGTTCGGGCACTGGCCAAGGAGGTTTTTTGTGCGGGCAGACACGGGGTCTGCGGTGGTCGATCGCTTGTTTCGAGTTGCTTTCGGGTGTAGTAGTTACTGGGGACGAAGACGTTCGCCGTCTTCGCCTCTCTTTAACAGTGCCAGTCGACCAAGGTCGAAAGGTTTGCTTTCAATGCTTAACACAGTTTTGAGGGTTGATGCATAAGAATGCGCCTCTGCTAGGCTGTTTTTGGGTATTTCTCTCTGGAGTCTAAAGATACTGCACAGGGATCATCTCCGTTTAAGAAGCCAGAACGAATACGGGACTTTTGTGCCACCCATTACAGACGGGTGGCACAGGTAAATCGGAAGCTCTTGCTGATTGCCATACAAAACTTGACAGTCCCCACTTTGAAATATGGTCACGTTTAGGTGCCTTGCGAGCACTTTTACCTCCATTGTTCAGTAGGATGACTTGTTGTGGGATCCCTTCACATTTGGTCCAGCTTTGTGCTCTGGTTGCCTTTGTCAAAACATCAGCACGATTTTTCTCAGAACTGATGAACCTAATCGTCAGAACTTCGTAATGTTGGTATGAATGCATGACTAATCTGATCTCTATCATTAAGAGTTTCTCTGCGGTGAAGGTTGACTGGTTGATTTTCATCGAAGAGGGACAAAACATTAGGAATCATGGCGAATGGCATCTGTTTGCTCATGATTTGCGCCATGTTTTTTTGTTCAATGTATCATCGGGCTCCGAAAACATGAACCACGTCGTAATTGTGAACCTAATTCATCGTTAATTGGGCGACAAAAACTGCTTGCTGTCAGCCCTACATGTGGTTCTATTCGTCTACTGCAGAATCGGCTCTTTATATTTAAATACAAATCAGCTAACGAGTTTGCGCGCGCTTTTTCCCATAGAAACACATCCCTTCCCATTGCTCCGACCGACTTTAACATTCCACACGCCTTGCCCTAACGCTCGAGATTTGTCTTGTGCCTTTCCCCCATCGGCGGCTAACGGATGGTATCGAAACGCGTTTGCGCCCCTCCGGGGCACAAGGGAGTGAACTCTGTTCCAGTCTAACAAGCTCTCGCCCACTACCGCAATTCGCAATTTTCAATAAGAAAGTGCGCAACGATGCACCACGTTCCCTACTCTACCCTGCGTCGCGCTGCACAGCCGAAACAATCTACAGCAACCCCACAAGGCCGCCCACCTGTGTTATCCACCTCAGAAGAAGCGTTTCTTGTGGATGCTGCGCTAGACTTTTCGCAAAAAGGCACACCTGCGTCACGAGAATGCTTGAAGTCTCTTGTTGCTACTTTTGTACAATCCCTCCCTCCGCAGCGACAAAAAAGGATACCATTTAAAAATAGAAGGCCTGGGAATGGCTATTTGCACAAATTCTTTGCATGGCACTCCAGGCTAACACTCAAGCGCAGGTCAAGTCTACAAAAACTGCGTCAATTGGCGATGTCGCCATCAAACTTGGCATCACATTTCGTGCGTCTGGCACAAGTGTACAAGGAGTTTAAGATAACGTCGGCTGAACAAGTTTTTAACATTGACGAAAGCGACTTTTCCACGCGTATAGCCACACGCGCTCGAAGCAAGGCTGTGTTTGACGCAAGTGGGAAAGTAACTAAACCGAATTAAAGTGGTGTGGCAATGCTGGGCATGTCACCATTATGCCAGTTGTGTCTGGAGACGGGCGGGCTTGGAGCTCACTTACAGTGCTGCCTGGCAAAAAAACCAAACACCGCATTCGCTCTGACGGAACGAAAGAAACTCATGCTAGCTTTCTCCCTCCCAATTCCTATTGCGTGTACCGTGAGAAGGCTGGTGTGGACTCCGAAATCTTCTATCAGTGGACATTAAAGTTTCTGGAGGAGACCAAAATACTGCGTGAGAAACACCGCCATATTGTTATCACAATGGATAGTTACGGTGCCCATTGCACGTACAGGTCTCTTAACGCCCTCAAGAACGGCCGTGTTGTTTTCATCGGTCTGCCCGCCCACACAAGTCACAGGACTCAAGTGCTCGATTATGCGGTTTTTTCGCCATTCAAGACGTCGTTTCGAAACCTGTTGAACAGTAGAGCGTATTCCGTTGCATGAAAACGAATGACATCTATACACTCTGCGAAATACTGACACGGGCGTACTACGAGTCCGTCCGTCCGGACAATATCATAAGCGGTTTCGATGCATGCGGTGTGTGGAAAAGAGGACATGGGGGTGCTAATGCTGGTGTGATCCGGCAGACTGATATCACCAATTTTGAGAGGGATGAAGACCAGACGGCAGCATTGGACACATACAAGGATCTTGTCAAAGCATTCACACATTCCCGAAATATGCTGCGCAGTGACAGCAGTGTCATTGAAAGCGGTACTTTGATAACGAGATCAGGAGCTTTATTGACAAGGGATGATGTGCTCAAGGCGCTTGAAGAGCGTTCTTTGCAGCGGCAAGAAGCAGCGTTGCAGCGTGAGGTGCGGGCGGCCGAAGCAGCCGCAAAAAGGGCACAGAAAGAGCGGGAGTTGGAGGAGAAGCGGCAGCAAAGGGTGGAGGAGGAGGCGCGAAAAGAGCAACACCGCATCTGGCTTGCTCAAATGTCTGCTCGAGCCGAGCGTCTGAAAGCTAACCGGTCCCAGCGTCGGTCCCAGTGCCGGGCTGCTGCGAGGCTAAAAAGCAGCTATTCAGGCAGCGAATAACCTGTGCAACCAAGTCACTGATCAATTATGAATAAAATTCGTGCGGCGAAAATATCATATGTGATCCACATTTTCAGCACAGTGAGGCCCATAACGGCTACTTGCTCATGGGAAGCGATGGCGTTGTTACGGTTTTCCTGTATTTCAACAGCCAATCCCAAAGCGATGTATGGATCTAGAGGCATGCTTTGGAGCTTTGTGCCAAGTTGTAGGAGAATTGGACAATTTCTTCATTATTTACTATTCAGGATGTTGAGACTGATCCATAATATGGTACCCCCTAATACGCGTCAATATACACTGTGTGTATAGAGGTGAAACTCCACGGGAAATAGCACGCGTCTGTAAGCACTTACTGACAGCCTGGCGTCTCTCTGTACCCGCCTCGCCGCCGACCCATAAGTAGTAGAAGCGAGCTGTCCTATCTTGCTACCTCTCCTCCCCATGTCTATTTCTCTTTGCGAGAAATTCCCCTCAGCAAGCGAGGCGGTGACACATTCTACAGAGTGCTGCCAGAGCACTCAGAGAGATGACTGAACAAGCAACTGACCCGTCCGAAGTCCCCGCCGCCCCCCGCGGTCGTGCAGCCCTCGCTCGCCTTGAGGGCCGCCTGGGAAAGCGCGGGTACCATCGCGTCGGGACTACGGGCATGTGATATCAGAGCTAAGCTCTCTCAAGATGGTAGGAGAAGGAAGCGTTTTCGAGCGGGGGTCCACGTGTCCGTCACGCACATGGGGTACTTCAAACCCCCCGCGGACGCCTTCCTCTCTGAGTTGAGGTCGAGGGACCGGCGGTCGGCTAAAGAATGGGAATACATCAACGCTGCCGGAGTTTGGACTGAGCTGGATGTGGCGGCTTTGGGGGTGGCCAGGGACCAGACGGAGGACGTGCCAAGCCTAGCACGCAAGTTAGCTCTAGCGCAGAAGGCGATGAAGGCTGCGCTCGAGGAGTTGTCTATGAGGGCGCAGTACTTCAGGGAGATCACTGAGCAGGGAGTTGAGGCTGCCCGGCAGATGTCCTTCCTGGTGTAGCAAGGACACGACGCTGTGTTCTCTGAATCCTACCGCTCCGCCAGGGAGGCGTTGACGAGCAAGCTGGAGGTCGAGGCTGCGAAGATGCTGGCCAAGGCGCGGTTGGAGAGGGCTACGGGGAACAGAAACAATGGACCCCCGCAGGCGGGGTCCAGTGATCAGTGATGGCGAAAGACGGAGCCGGTGTCGCCGCAATGGGAAGGGGGGGAGCACCATTGTGGCGCGGAACTGCCCTCAGGGCGGACGCTTGGCGTTCGGGGGTGGGGGCCAGTGAGTACCTGACGAGGCAGATCCGTTACGGGATATTGGATCTGCCTTCGGTGCCCTTTGAGGAAGGGTTGGTACTAGGGGAGCTCCCCCAGTCAGAGGAGGACAGGACGTTTGGAAGGGATGATGTGGAGAGGGGGTGCAAAGAGGGGCTGTACGAGCGCGTGGGGTACGAAGAAACGATGGAGGCGGCGCAACGTGGATGAATAGTGTCCTCAGCTCTCACTGTGTGGCAGGGGGAGGGCGTCGACAGGCGCGGGCGATTTGTAATTAATTTCAAACGCCAAAGCAGGCACTGGGAGAAGGGGTCAATCAAGATGGAGACACTGCAGTCATTCGCCACACAGCTGCAAGGTGGAGATACACTAATGTCGTGGGACATTAAGAGTGGGTACCGCCACTTCTATCTCCACCCGCGCATGCGCGAGTTCTTCCTCTTCCGCTACGACGGTTTCTTCTACCGTTGCATTGCCCTGCCGTTCGGGTGGGGCCGGTCCGTGCTGTGGTTCACCAAGCTTCTGCACCCGCTGGTGCAGCACCTGCGTGAGCGCCTGGGCTACCGCGTGCTGCCCTACATCGACGACTTCGCTCGCACGCTCTCTCCGCTGGGGCGCCCGTCAACAAGAAGGGACTGTGCAAGGGCGGGGTGAAGGTTTGCCGGGCTCTTCGGGCGGCTGGGGCTGGTGCCGCACGAGAACAAGGGATGTTGGGAGGGGACGCCGGTCCTAGAGCATCTGGGCTGCGTTATCAACACCGAGAAGATGCGCGTGTTCGCGTCCGAAAAGAAGGCCCTAAGGCTGCGGCGGCTGGTGAAGGAGTTGTTGCTGGGCGCGCAACTCAACCGGCGACTGGTGTCGCTCCGCAAGCTCCGCCATTTCTGTGGCGTCGCCGCGTCCATGACCCTCGCGCTCCCGCTTTCCGGCTTCTACACTCGCAGCCTCTACTTCGACATGACTCTCGCCGGGCTGCGAGCAGCGGAGCGCGAGGAGCGAGGGCCAAGTACGAAGGGGGGCCTTGTTGGGAGCGAAGCGAGCCCCCCGTAGTAGCCCGAAGCGACGCAGCGCTCCGCTCCTCAGAAGCCCAAGCCCAGCCGGACGTCCCTTTGGGGCGCCGCCGGCGAGGGTAACGAGCTTTGCGCCGTGCTCCGAAGGGGCGCGGCGCTCGGGGGTCTGGGGGCGCAGCCCGCAGAAATTTTTCCG